GTACGCACCTGCTCACTCAGCACTATTCATAGTTGCCAAAAAGTGGAAACAACCCAAATGGCCATCAAAGGATGAATGGATGTGCAGTACATTGTGAATGTGCTAAATGTCACTGAATTGTGCACTTTAAAATGATTAATTTTGCATTATGTGAGTTTAACCTAAATAACAAACAAAGAAAATATAGATTAGATATTTATCTTGAAAAAAGAAACCCGAGAATTATGGAGTCAGTCTAAGTTTTCTTATATCAGCTATTAAGCTATCTGATGTATTTTCAGAATAGAATAAAACAAATCAAATGCCGAAGTTTTTTGCTGATATTTTAAAATGACAGCATGCTGACATTTTCCACTAAACATTTAGCTTTCACACTGTGATCGTAGAGATATTTTTGGAAAAATATGTAATGTTCCTAAGAACCAGCCCCTAACTTTTTGATATTCAAATATTTCTTTTGAAACACTTACGTCAATATCTTTTATCCTTTTCTCTGATTTAAACTGTCTCATTTGTCCAGTCTAGCTTTGAATAAATTAATTGAAATCTCTCTATAGTATAAACTTCTATTTCATTTTAATCATCAGTTGTTTTCACAGGGCCATTCCTTACTTTGGAATTTTATTTCACTGGATATTTAGAAATACATAATGAATGTTTTGAATCAAATCTATTTTACTGTTTTCTTAGCAATTTTCAAATGGTGCTTTATTTCCATGTTCTTAAACATGGGACAATACAATTAATTTTGTAAATACTAAGTTCCTCCTGTGCTCTATTTTAAACATGAATTTTTGAGGATAGAAATTTTCTTGTTACAGGAAAATCCTTCCTGACCAGAGCAACATAGACCATAAATCTCATCTTAGAAGTAGGAAAGGGAAGGCTAGGTCTTTCATAATATAATTCCTAATAATCAGATGAAATAATCTTTAATAATACAACTTAGAAAATACATTATAAAGATTTTATCAAAGATCAAATCGAGTATACATAATACTATATTATGCTTGCTATAAGTGAGAAAATGAACATGAAATGCTTTTTATCACATTATGAATGTCAACTATTACCATGATTATAGACCAAAACGATGAATATATACAGAAAAAGGTACTTATGATTAGCTAAAAACCCTGCTAAGGGTTCGTTTTACAAATATTTCTAAGTATGTCCTAACTTTAAATGCTCACTCTTGCTGACCATAGGCAAACCATAATTCTCATCTATAAAATAATAGAGAGTAGAACTAATACTGTTTTGAGGTGTGTATGTGTGTGTGTTTCAGCTATAAAAATTTCTTTAGTAAAATTTCTTCAAGTATAGTTTTTGAACCAGTCTAATATGTAAACAAATAAAAATAGAACTCTGTAGCTGAAAGGGGAAAAGGGATGCCATTTGATCTTGAGATACCTCCATAGAACCCATGAGATATGAAGCACAGTTAATTAACCACCCAACTGGAGGATGCCTACTGTTTTATTCAACTTTTAAAAGCTGTAATTCTTTAATAATGTTTTGCGTGGCATTGATTATCTCATAATGAATTTTAATACTATAACATTTATTTTAAAGTTATGGAAATGCGTGAGAATTCAGAATATATGAGAAATCAGTGAGAACCATGGTCAGTATGGTGCAGTGGTTAAGATTGTAGGCTCTGAAGTTATGGGGTCTGGATTTTCCCAGTACTGCTATTTATTAGCTATATGATCTCTAGAAGAATACTTTATCTCCCCATGTTTCGTTTCTTGTCTGTAAAATGGGGATACAAATAGTAGGTCTATCATTGGATGATTGTGAAGATTAAGTGAGATAATGAGTGTGAAATGCTTAGCACATAATGAATGTCAATTATCTTGATTATAGTTCAGAAAATATGAAGGTTTATAGGGAAAAAATGTCTATGATTGGATAAGAATTCTGCTGAAGAATCCATTTTAGAAATATTTTGAATTAATTTTTCTTTGATCCCCTCCACATTATTAAATCAATATAAACCAGATTGAGGTACAAGTGTATAATTTTCATGTTAGTAGCATAAAGTTTGACTACATGTTTCTGTTGGAATTTCTCCTGTTTTATCTGACTTTTGTAATGACTTTTTGAAGAATTTGTATTAATCAGTGGAACAAAGAGCGCAGTAATTCCTTTAGTTGGCATATACTGGGGGAGAAAAACAACAGAAAAATATGATGACTAAAACTGATTTTGGTGTGATTTATACATGAAAAAGTATGTTCACTAGCTTCTTAAAGTGTACCATATTCTTGTTTATAATTTAAAAACAAAACTTGTTGCGTTGGTGAAAAAAATCTTCAGTAAAAACAGTAAGTATATTTTATTAGGTATCCAAAGTTTCAGAATTTTTGTTCAGAAACTCTCTCTTTGGATTTCCTGCTCTGTTTTTAACTTAAAATTTGAATGGGATGTGGATTTTAGAAAAGTGCCTTCTTTGGCAAAATTCATTTCACAGATAGCTGACTGGCAAGCCTTTAAAGGAACAAAGGTTTATTCCATTTTAATTAAGTTTCCAAAACTTTCAGTCTCTTGAAGTTTATAACTAAGCTCTCATGTTTGCCAAATTGGGCAAGAAACTTTATGAGAACAAATTTTGTGATATATTATATCTTCAATTTTAGTTCAGCTTAGCTGGAAATCAACTTTTCTTACAGTGTGCCAACAGTTTATTTTTTAACTTTTGGCTCTACTCAGGAAATGGTATAATAAAGAGCATTTGTGTTGAAATTATGAAAAGTAGAAAATTTGTCTCAAATCAACAGCTTGAAATCAGTGTCTTATTAAATAGGAAATGAAAATTATATATTAATCAAAATTACTATACTCTTTGCAAAAAGAGTGGGGGATATCTTTTGCTTGTATGTATCATTTATATCAGAGGCAGATCCAAATTTGGGGGGCCTAAAGCTTATAAATTTTGAGGGACTTTCTGTAAGAAAAGGTAATCTAAAATTCAAATAAAATATTAGGTAATGGATCTTTGAAAGGAACAAGGCAAGTGTTATGTTCTTCTTATGCAGATCAGAAATGGCTGAGATATATGTAATAAAACTTTTAAAATCAGATAGACAATACTTAATGCTAACAAATATAAAAACATTATAAAGTAAAATTTTATTTTGCTTTTAATTTTAGGATGATATTTTATCAAGGTATAGACTTTTAAGTTCTCAGTTTTCCCCTCAACATTTTAAACATATTGTTCCATTGTCTTTGGATTCCATAGTTTATGGTGAATACTCAACTGTCAGTTTTATTGTCTTTCCTTTGTAGGTAATGTGTCCTTTTTCTTGCCCTGGCTGTTTTAAAGGTTTTTTTTTATCTTTGATTTTCAGCCATTTGACTACTGAGTATGATTTTCTTCCACTTTTTCTGGTGTGGGGTTGGCTATACTTCCTGAGTCAGTGAGTTAATGTAGTGTAACAGTTTTAGAATATTCTCAGCTGTGTTTTTCTGAAGTATTGTTTCTTCCCCATTGTCTGTCTCCTCTTCTCAACTGCAGTTACATTGGGCTGTTTGTGTCTCTTATGCTCTGTTCTTTTAAATTGTGTTTTTTCTCTCTCTGCTTCAGTTTGGATGTTTTTTGCTGATCTCTTCAAGTTCTCTAATCCTGTGTTTGCTGTGTTAAATCAGCTGTAAAACTCACTGACTGATTTCTTAATTTCAGATATATATTTGGTGTTTTTTCCTAGATTTTAGTTCTCTGTTGAAATTTTCCTCTTTTCATCTACTGTGAACATTTTTCTCTACTTTAACTTACATTAAATTGTTTTCTTAAAGTTCTTGTTTTCTAATTCTGTATCATCTGTGGGTCAACCTTATATACATTATTTTTTCTCTTGGTTATTGGTCACCTTTTGTGTTCCTTCCCATGCTTTGTAACTTTTATTGAATACCAAATACTGGTTATTATAGGGTCATAGAAATTGATGTAAATATTTTCTCTCAATCCCATATTAGAAAGAAATGGTGAGTGCTAATTACCTCAACTCAACCACAAATTGAGCTGAGTGGTTTAAGTGACAGCTTTAGATATACTTAGACTACCTCTGATTTTAAATATTTTAAGAACAAGACCTGTTGTGTTGTAGGTATTTCTTTCTAGTGTGATGTTGTACTTATGTCCTGTGAAATTGTGAGAGATTTTACTGTACATTTTGGGTTCTTCTCCCTTTTACTCATCTCCCCCTCTCAATGTGAGATGCTTTTGGTTGAGAGCAAATGTCTTGAGGGGAGACCTGTTGAAATTCTACATTGAAAGTGGTAGGCTCTATCTGTTGTAGTGTGACTTTGACTCCTAATCACCATAACACTACAGAAAACATTATTTGCCCTCTGCAGCATTCTCTTCTCCTCCGCACAAATCCTCAGCAAATCTCTGAGGAGAAAACTGTCTGTGTTTTGAGGATTCCATAAGATTCCAATCTGTCATGCCAACCCATGAACTGTCAAGAGCTATGCTGCTTCTCTTGTCCTTAGTAGTGTTCCTCTTTCTGATTCTTAACTTGTGTCTAAATGGTAAATCCTACAGAAATGAAAACAATCAGGAGGCTCAGCTTACCTAAGAAGAGATATCACTTTTCTCCTAGTTTATCCATTTGCTTCTGTTTTCTCCAACATCTTTAAAAATATGATTTTTGGGCATAATTTATCTTTTCTAGTTGTTATGGAAGCAGTGACTTGCCACTATGTGCTGGTAAGTTAGTCCTGTAAAAGTAAGAACAAAATTTAGACCCACATGTTTACTCCTTTATATGTGGTATTTATATAAAGTCTGTGTGCTTAGATTATTGGCTTGTTATTGAACATTAATATTTGTTGGTAAATCTACCAGACCAAGAAATTGATCAATATTGATGTTTGGAAAAACTATATCCAGAGAGCCAGTTTTAATTTAACAATTCCTTTTGGTCAGCAGTAATTTAACTGAAATGTAAGCAAAATTTAATTTTCTTTTTCTTTCCCCCTTTTCTGTTTAGTGAGTGATAGTTGCTTCAGGAATCTTGCAGAAGATCGCAGTGGGATAAATCTCAAAGATCTCGTACAAGATCCTTCTTTGTGAGTATTTGGTTTTCAGTACTAAGTATAATTTAAAACTTTATGGTCGGTGTGACTTTCTTCAAAAGAGTTGTAACTGGGAACTGATTTAAGCTTAAGCAATTTCTTCTTTTCTAACAATTTGTGTTACATATAGTGAAGCACATGGACCAGTTTCAGCAGAAGTAAAGTTATGGAACAGTTTCTTTTTAGAAATAGAAGACATTTTAGAAGAAGGGATAGAGTTATGATTAAATGATTGACTTTCAAGGAGTAGGGCTAATGGCCGATGATATCTCGCCAATGTGGTGGTAGATACCAGGCAGGGAAGATGATTAGCAGTTTATTTGCTTGGGAAGGTGAGATTGAATTTGTTCACATCAATTTTAAGCTGTTTTGAATAATTTATAATCATTATTTGTAAGTATAATTACAAATATAAAATAATTATTTGTAATAATATATTTGAATATATTGAATATGTTTTTAGTGTTTTAGAAAGCTGTATACAGCACAAGATTTTTGAAGAGTTTTATAGGTTTCAATTTAATGTTCTTGCTCATGAGTCAATCCTTTATCAGCATATACTTTACTATAGTGTCACTTTCTATTTCATGAAAACTTTTGCATTTTTATATTTACTGAAAATTGTGTGTGTTATCTTCTATATGAATATACCCTCCCAGTAAGATTACCTTTTATTAAAAAAAAAAAAAGCATATTAGTTAAGCCGTGGACAATAGAGAAAGGAAAATTGAGTGGTGGCAGGTGCTTTCTTTAATAATACATAATGCATTCAGTAAAGTTTATTCTTATAGGAAATCAGTCTTCCACATCACATGTAATCTATACTCCCACAACTTTTACTAGTAATTCATTGCAAGTTTTGTGAGGAATAAAACATAATAAATGTGTTGAACCAGAAGGTTATTAATTTCTTAATGATTTTCCAGTCATTTAAAAAAATATAGTCATGAGACACAGAATACTGAAAATGACTGAATATTGAAGTTTATAATGTAATGACTTTAGACATAAATTTCCAAACCCAACTCTCTCAACTTTTTTTCTTTTTTTAATGTCTCTCTTTTCTTCTCTTAAAAGGATTGTCAGTGTTCTTTTTCTGTGATCTTTATTCCAGTGAAGATTGACAGTTGTCCTTTCAGTCTATAAATATTTAATCAAGGATAATTATTCCATGTGGATGTAAATATTCCTAGTAAATGAATATCAAATAACATTTATTTGCATGAAGAGTTCTATTTTCCTTTTGGATATTGGAGGAAACTTTATAATTTCTTGGAAAGTTTTCACCCATTTGAATGAATAAAATAAATAATTTCATTATTATTTGTAAGGTATATTTTTGGTACAGTAGGATTATGTATGTTTAATGCAATCTTTGTGGAAAAAATGTGCTTGTATATACTTTAATCATATAAAAGCTGTAGAGAATTGTACTTAAATTATGGACTATAACAATGAGTTGTAGCCTTTTGAGAGGATTTGATACTTCTTTCCAGAATGTAGAATAATATTCATCATGCAACCTTTAACTAAATTCTAAATTTAATATTAATATTCTAAGAAAAATTTATCTCAGATCACTATTGCATTAGATGGACAAAATAATTCTGAGTCTCTGTTTTAAACTAGCTAGATATCTTAATTTAGCTTCATTCTCTTAACGTGGCATTAGTCTAGAATGTAAGAATTCAGTGATAAAGAATTTGTTTTTTCCCTTGACACTTGGATTTGGAAAGAACTTTTTCTTTGTTAATAATTATTAACTTGTTCTGTTAATGACCCTAATTCATATTTAGAGATATATTTCTTACTTGATAAAAATTCTTTAGGGAAGGAAATGACCAGTGTGGAAAAAATAGTGTACTTTTTTCAGTTGTTATTATGGGAAATATTTTATTCTGAGTTACAATTCTATAGCAACATTTACTTACTATATATGTCATGGGTAAAGATTTTCTTATAAAAGCAGTTTATCCTTTTTCTGTTTCACTGACCTAAATCTTTACTTTATGTTCCTCAATTCATGTACACCATATGGTTCTGTATGGAGTTGAATTGTTTATATTGCAACATTGAGTAGGGAATGTGTTGGAAATAACTTTTTTACAAAACTCTCCTACTTAAAAAATCACTTGCATTTTATGAGTACTCCAGACTAGTGAAAGGGTTGCTAAAATTGCATACATATGTTATGTTAAATAATATTCCAAATAAAAAAATTATTAGAGTAAGATGTATTGAATGAATGCTTTATTGTTAATATGCCTGGCACATTTGTATTATGATTCACCTACTCAAGCTGGTGTTGCTGAAAGAAGTTGATGTGTAAAGAAAAATTAAGTATTTCAATCACTAATGCTATTAGAAAGGAAGACAGAATAAAGAGAGAAGGAGAAAGTAGGCTGGGGAAGCCAGACTATCTGGTCAATATTGACACTGAAAACAGTATGTAGTGTGTCTTAATCAGATAAATGAGCATCGTGGAGTTTCTTTGGACAAAGTACAGAAATAAAACTGGATCATACATGTGTGTGTATGTGTGTATCAGTGAATGAATGAATGAAGTTCAAGGGGTTTATTGCCTCAGGAGATTGAAAAGGAAGAAGCAAAAGTGACTAACTCCTACTCTAAATCTGTGTCAAGCTACTGGAATAATATGATAGGCCCTCTGTAGTTTATCTGAATTATGTTCAGTACACACCCCAATATTTGCTTCCATTGTAGTAAAGCTAATTATTGGGCTTGAGTGAACCGAGTGAGCTATATTGTGTGACTATGATGAAGAGGATGCTAAAGAAAAATGAGAAGTTATGGATCCCTAAGACTTTCTGGTCTTGCTACTAACTTTTGATCTGTTATAATAATGAGAACAGAATGTGACTTGTGGCAAGGTTGAGGTGAAGGGGATACCTGAGAAGCTCTCTTCTTTGGGTCCTCTGAGAATACTTGTGTCTCTCAAAATCCTGTAGGTGTTAACTGTAGAGAAACTTGACATTCACTTTTTGGTGATGAGTATGCCTAAGAGTTTGTTTGAATTAGTAATTTGCATTCATGTTAAATTTTGAAATAAATAATTTAACTTTTAAAAACTTACCTTCTATTTATGATTATAAATATTTTAAGATTGATTTCCTCTGCTGTATTTATAATTTGTCAATTTGGGTTGTGTTCTAACACCACTTGTTTTAGTTGTTTCTTTCAATGGCATGTTGAAAACTGTTATCAAATTTAACGTTATTACCATATTAGAAACATATCTAACGTGATACAGAATTTTTGTGTATACAAGAAGTTATTGTTAGCATGATGTAATTAATTTTTGTTCACTTTAAGTGTAGAGCTACATGCTAAGTTATAAAAAATCATTTATGCTGTTTCTTCTGGAGAGATGACTTTTATGTGCAAATGAGGTGCTATATGTAATGTATTTTATTTTAAGTTCTATTCAATTGTGTTCTTATAGAGATAATTCTCAAAAATACTTCCAAATCCCCATTGGCTATGTACTGAAGATGAAAGATAAGACCTATTACCATATTTGTGTTTTAGATTTCTGATTATTTATAAACTACTTAGCATAGATAATTATTTGAACACAGATTCGTTTATAGAAATTATTAGAAGCTGTTTAAGAATCGAAAGAGGAAAAATAACATAATGAAAAGGACTAACAGACACTGAACATCTGTTTGTACTATTCTTTGTGTTGATGCTGATTGCATGTGAATGTAGGTGGATGTCTCATTTTCTTTAGTTTGTAAAAACTCTTAAAAAGTTAGGACCATCCTAGATGTGTCTTATGTAGGTCAGTTAGAGGAAAAATAGTTTAATTCATAGAAGAATTGGCCATCTCTGAATACTAGATATAACTCATAATGCAAGATATTAGTAATTTTCCATATAGTCAAATAGGAAAAGTTTATATTCTTTTACAATTATGGACAACATAACAAATATGTCAGTCTTTATTGTTTTTCCTTATGGTACTCAGAATATATTTTCAGTTGTTTCAGTGATGTCAAGATTTTTAAAAAGATATTACCAAGTTCTGACCTCTTGTGATTTATAAAAAAGGATGGTTCAGTAAAATAGAAGCAATCTTAATTCTCAATTCTGGATAAATTATATTATGGATGAGGAAATACTTCTTATCAATGTTCTTGGTATTTTTAAAAATTGTCGTAAAATAAACATAACGTAAAATTTGCCATCTTAACTAATTTTAAAATACACAATTCAGTAGTGTTAAATATATACATGTTATGCAGCCAATTCCTAGAATTTTTTTCCTCTTGCAGAACTGCAACTCTGTACCCATTAAGCAATAACTCCCCATCTTCCCCTCCCCTCAGCCTCTGGCGACCACCATTCCACTTTCTGTTTTTATGATTTTGACTCCTCTAGAAATCTCATGTAAGTGGAATCACACAGTATTTGTTTTTTTGTGACTAGCTTATTTCATTTAGCATAATAGCCTCAAGGGAGTTCATCCATGTTGTAGCATGAATTTCCTTTTTTTTAAAGGCTCTATAATATTCCATTATATATATATCCCACATTTTGTTTATCCATTCATCCATCCATGGACACTGGGTTACTTCTTTTACCTATTGTAGGTAATGCTGCTGTGAACATGGGTGTGCAAATATCTCTTTGAGACCCTGCTTTCGATTCTTTTGGCTATATATCCAGAGTTGGTATTGCTGTATCATATAGTAATTCTATTTTTAATTTTTTTAAAGAACTGCCATACTGTTTTCACTAGTGGCTGCACCATTTTATATTCCAACAAACAATGCAGAAGAGTTCCAATTTCTCTACGTCCTCACCAACACACGTTATTTTCTATTTGTTTGTCGTAGCCATCCTAATGGTTGTGAGGTGATATGTTCTTGGTAATTTTACTAGAGCTTCACTTACTTTACATCTTGTCTTTAATAATGATTTTGATGCAACTCATCTACAGAATAAAGAAAATAAAGGATATTGTCTAC